TTATTCTGTTTCCAACATACTAATTTTTTGAGCCTCAATTCCTACACTTTTCTGTCTTTATTTTTGACAAGGGTTCTAAAATTATATATTAAAAGAGGTCACTACAAAATACCCAATATTAATTTAGCAAATCTCTCTCCATTCTGTTTAAAGTTTTCACCAAACGCACTAAGTTTAAAAAAATGTAGGAGAATATTGTATACACTACATAATATACGAAAATATTTTGAAAAAATTTCGGAATGATGGCAGTAATGTTAAAAACAATTTTTTGGTTTTATCAATTATTTATTTATTTACTGGCTCCCAAAGGCATCCAAGTGACTAAATATCCAACTTCCCATGACTTTTGCCTTCTCTATTACTCGATGATGGTATAGGAATAAAATTATTTCAAAATAAGAATTATTTTGAAATATTTTTAACACAAATATTTCTACAGTTAGATTTATTACATAAATTAACCATTAACTAAAATAAAATATTTAATATAACATTTGTCCCGCAGTGGATTGATCGCTAAGACACGGTTCCCAGCAGATCACCGAAGTCAAGCATCACTGGCTACGGTCAGTGTGTGGGTGGGTGACCACTAGGATCAGTCTGCGTAGGAACCGAGGGTGTGCGGTATGGGTCCTAGTTAAACTGTGCTACCGTAAAGTGCTCGACTTCGCGCGAAGGTCGTCGGGCTACCAAAGCGGGGGAGCCATCCCCTCCGCAGAGGATCAAAATTGTGATGGCATGTCTTCTGATCATCCTCATGGATGTTTCCCAGACCGTCGTCAATAGCCCATTGTGCAGCTCTAGTGCGACGTAAATTAACAGCAACTTAATATACCATTTATTGAAGTAAGTATTACGTCTATTTTCTAATTTATGTAAAATAAATTCGTTTATAAATTGTAATTACAAAGAATGATAATAAGAGTTTTCAATTATTTTAAAAATGAGCAATGGACAACGTAATGTTTACTGACGAGGTTGCTCATACATCTGCAGATTTCTATAATGTTAAATAAAAATCTTGAGATCATGGTGACTCACGCCTTAGGCTCTATACATTGACTGATAAGATAGCAGGTTCGTGACCCAAAGCCTCTGTGGAACCTTCAAACTATCGACAAGAAACCTTTTAATTTGATAATCAAATTTATTACAATACTAAATAAAATTCGGAAAGCATATTATTATTCTTTCTTCTGTGGCCCTGGATCATAAGAAGCAGTAAGTCTGAATTCCACCATAACCCTTGATGCATCTGAATTGGTAACGAATGTTATTACTCCTTCGTTTGTGACCCTTGGATCATAAACTGTAAGTTTGAACACCATAACCCTTCATTTATCTGAATTCTTAAAGTAGGTTATTATACTTTCGCATGTGGCTCTGAATCATAAGAAGCAATAAGTTTTAATTCCACAATAACCCTTGATGTATATGAATTCGCAACGTATGAGTCCCGGAGAGGACTGATCATTAAGACACGGTTCCCAGCAGATCACCGAAGTCAAGCATCACTGGTTGCGGTCAGTGTGCGGGTGGGTGACCACTTGGATTAGTCTGCGTAGGGACCGAGGGTGCGCGTTATTGATTTTCGTTAAACTGCTCTACCGTAAAGTGCTCGACTTCGCGTGCTGATCGTCGGGCCATCGAAGCAGAGGTGCCATCTAAATTCGCAACTTATGTTATTATACTTTAGTATGTGGCTCTCGATCGCAAGCAATAAGTTTTAATTCCACCATAACCATTGATGTATATGAATTCGCAACGTATGTTATTATACTTTCATCTGTGGCCCTAGATCATAAGATAATCGTAAGTTTGAATTCTACCCTTGATTGATTTATCTTTTTGCTGCTGACTTTTAAATCAAAAGCTTGTTATTCGCTTCTTCGCAAGGCTCAGAGCTGACTTGGAAGAATTCATCTTTCATCATCTCTGTTACAATCTGGAACCTTAACTTTAGAGGCAATAGTAGTAGTAGTTCATCTACGTCGCACTAGAGCTCCACAATGGGCTATTGGCAACTGTCTGGGAAACATCCCTGAGGATGATCCGAAGACATGCCATCACAATTTTGAACCTCTGCAGAGGGGATGGCACCCCCGCTTCGGTAGCCCGACGACCCGCACTCGAAGTCGAGCGCTTTACAGTCAAACAGTTTAACGAGAATCAATACCGCACACCCTCTGTCACCACGCAGACTAATCCTAGTGGTCACCCACCCGCACACTGACCGCAGCCAGTGATGCTTGACTTTGGTGATCTGCTGGGAACCGTGTCTTAACGATCAGTCCACTGCGGGACCTTAACTTTAGATCATTAGATTTTAGTCTCACCCTAAAAAGAGTCTATACTCCGTTCTTCTTTAAGTCATTCGAGTCATAAATTCAATTATGTAAGGCATCGTTAATAGTTAATATCTTTTGTCAGGCTTGCGAGCTTCAGTAGAGAAATAATGGTAAAATCTGTCTTCCAATTACAAAAATAGTATTAGTTGTAGAACTTTGTTTACGTCACATTAGAGCTGTTCAATGGGCTATTGGCGACGGTCTGGGAAGCTCCCCATAATCCGAGGAAATGGCAACCCAATTTTGATCCCCTGCAGTGGGGATGGCTCCCCCGCTTTGGTAGACCGACGACCTATGCTAAGTAGAGCTCCTTACGGAAGAATAGTTTAAGATGGACCGATGGTCCCCATCGGTCATTTCACTGGTTGAAAAAAGTGATCACCCACCCGCTCACTGACCACTGCCAATGATGCCTGACATGTGTGATCTATAGGGAACAGTGTCTTTACGATCAATCAACTACGGGACCAATTAGTTAAAAGAGATAGCAGGACTGGGAAAAAAAGCTTCATGTTCATACCCCAATGACTCCAAAAAATTCAGTTTTAACATGCTACTAGCCAAGCAAGCATTTAACTGAAGCATTATCATTTTCAAAAAATTTTTATCAGCACATAAATCGTATCATGGCTATAAGTTAAGCAAATTTACATATTAAAAAAAATATTTCGCCTCCTTTAATTCTTCTAGAATTGGAGGCCATGGATTTGAGTCCAGCTATAACTGAGAAAGAAAAATTTACTCTTCGTGTATTTCTTCTAAGAGTTTTATCTTTATCAGATGAATACTGATCAAAAGGAATCTGAGACACGGCTAGTGATCTTCCTTCTTATTGTTTTGTTCTATTTCCTCTTATAGTTTTTTTTCACAGTTTTAGTTTATGTAACCGTTTGATTTTCTTACATTGAGCAAAGTTTGAGCTTAGCCCAGAGTAGAAGAGTACAATTATCTAAACTTGCTTTGTATGTTTGTGGTTTGAAACATCAGTTTTTCGAAATGACAACAACAATACAGAAACTTGCATTGTGTTCATAAGCGTTCAGAGCTTTGTATGAATTAAATAAAGAATTTGGTTGCAGGTATTATACTTTCATCGGTCACGCTTAAATATTGCAGCGGGTTTATAGAACTAAGTAATTCCAATACCTCCAATGTACTGTATAAATATCTTTTAATATCTTAACATATAACATCTTTGTATTTTTGATTGCGACAGAGAAAGGCTCGCAAAAATTATTAGGAATCTCTCTTCCTTCAAACAAATAGTTCATCAGTGCTCTTAATTGTAAAACTGAATATGCATGATAGAACTCCCTGGTTCAAGGAAATGTCCTACAACCAAGAACTCTGAATGATTGTGGATCATGTTTCCGTCCAATGTACCTTTACGATGATGCTTTTCTATAATTTTGTCTATCTGTTCGTCGTCCCGCTAAGTTAAGACACGACTCCCAGCAGATCACCAAAGTCAAGCATCACAGGCTGCGGTCAGCGTGCGGCTGGGTGACCACTTGGATTAGCCTGCGTGGTGACAGAGGGTGTGCGGTATTGGTTCTCGTTAAGCTGCTCTACTGTAAAGCGCTCGACTTCGAGTGCAGGTCGTCAGGCTACAGAAGCGGGGGTGCCATCCCCTCCGCAGAGGATCAAAATTGTGATGGCATGTCTTCGGATCATCATCAGGGATGTTTCCCAGACTGTTTCCTATAGCCCATTGTGCAGCTCTAGTGCGACGTAAATGAACTACAACTATCTGTTTGTCGATTTGAAAAGGTTTCGTTAGAAAAGACCGGGCAAAATCATCGGTTGAGTTTGAAAAAAATTCTTGAAATATTTGCACAGATTCCTGGCATAAAACATTTTACGTTGTGCTTTAATTGCTGTTGTTGTAGTTTATTTACGTCGCACTTGATTTTGATATTGATTTGCTGCACAATGGGCTATTAGCGACGGTCTGGGAAACATCCCAGAGGATGATCCGAAGACATGCCATCACAATTTTGATCCTCGGCCGAGGGGATGGTCCCCTCTCAACCATAGCCCGATGACCTGCGCGCGAAGTCGAGCACTTTACGATGGAACAGTTTAACGAGGACCAATACCGCACACCCTCGGTCACTACGCAGACTGATCCAAGCGGTCACCCACCCGTACATTGATCACAGCCAGTGATGCTTGACTTCGGTGTTCTACTGGGAATCGGGTCTTAACGATCAGTCCACTGCGAGACGTGTGTTTTGATAAAAAAGAAGTCTCGCAGTGGACTGATCGATAAGACACGGTTTCCAGCAGATCACCGAAGTCAAGCATCACTGGCTGCGGTCAGTGTGCGGGTGGGTGACCACTTGGATCAGTCAGCGTAGGGACCGAGGGTGTGCAGTATTGGTCCTCGTTAAACTGTGCTGCCGTAAAGTGCTCGACTTCGCGCGCAGGTCGTCGGGCTACCGAAGCGGGGTTGCCATCCCCTCCGCTGAGGATCAAAATTGTGATGGCATGTCTTCGGATCATCCTCCGGGATGTTTCCCAGACCGTCGCCAATAGCCCATTGTGCAGCTCTAGTGCGACGTAAATTGACATCAACATCAACATCAATAAATAAAAAAGAAAGTATTCCTTCAGCTTTGCAGAAATAGGTAGTTAAAAGTGTTTTGTGATGCTTACGCAAAAATTAGTAAATCTCTAAAAAATAAAAACTTGTTTGAAAGCAAATTAAAAGCAAAAATAAATAAATATTTATATATATATTATCCGCAAATTTCGAAAGTAATTTACGTAATTCTTAGAGAAAATATCTCCTGCCTGTGAAAGAAATGACAAACTTGCCACTATTCGACTGACTACTTCATGAATTTGTATATAAACATTTCTAGAGGTTCTGAAATAAGGAAAACCAGATCTCATAAGGTATATTTTTCGATAGAATTAGCATTTCGTAAGATATATAAACAATCTAAAACTAATCTAGATAAATTTGTTTAAACTAGTTATAAATATTAGTTAATATTATAATATTAGTACTTGTTCATTTCCTTGTACAATTTAATGTTTTTCACAGGAATACTCAATTATAAAATGATTGCCTGTATAAATCATTTCCTGTATAAATTTAAGAAAGCGCGTACTTTATGCGTAAATTTAAATTTAACATCAAAATCCCGATTTTATTCTGAAACTCTGAAGGAAGATATTAAATTGAGAGTCAGCTCCAAGATTTTTTTTAAGCATCATAGTTTTATGCACTTTCGGTTAATCTTTTTAATAAATGAAGAGTAAAACTTAAATGTTTTAATATTTTTTTAAAAAATAAACTAGGTACTTCAATTTACGTGAATACTCATTTTACAAAATTTCTTTGCATCCACAATTTCTTACTGTACTGTATTTCTCACTATATACTAATAAATGATAATAAAACTCTGATTTTTATGAGTAAAACACCAGCAGATTTAACATTAATATTGAATAAGGAAAAAAACACTTGATTTCCAAATATCACCTAGATGAATACTTTAACATAATTAATTTTAAGTTAATTTAAGTTGTACCTTAAATTTAATATCAGTTATTTCTTTGATTTTATCTTAATGAATCTTATATCTTAAGCTATACTTTTACAATTCTTAAAATTGATCATGGGGATACTTTGATTTAATCTCAATTGTTAATTGATTTTTGTTGAACTATAATAAATCTTATCACAAATTGCATTTAAATATATCTCAATAAATTCTTCATTTTGCCGAATCAAAGAAGTTGGGCATGCTTCAAATCTCTAAAAAATCTCGCAAGCTTGCTAATTTCTATATAGTTTTATTTTGTAATAATAGTTATTTTATGTTACACCCATATATTCGAAATTTTTTTGTAAATAGATGCTGTTAAAGTTATGTTGTTTTATAGCTTATTGCTATTTTATAAGTAATTATTACCCACATTTAGAATGTATTTCTTCAGATTTTGGTCATAAAACTCCCTTAATTCAAGTATGAAATTATTTTTTTTTCCATGAAACTGCCCTATGAGTTGCTTGAAAGAAATTTCCCAGATTTCTAATAATTTTTCACTTTAACTGGAAATTCCAAAAAGGCATGAATTTCTTATAACAGTATACAGAGATGCCAACTTGCTCTGGTCAGAGAATCGATATTTTTCGTGGTTTAATGAATTCGATTCATAGGGTTTTTACTCCCTACTACTTTTGAACAATTCAAAGGCCTATGTGATGTGCCACTTTGTTACGATTCTGTCTTGTTGAGCCTTTCAAAAAATTGGCAAAATTAACCGAAATTGTTCAAATTTTTGAGTGTAGCTCTCAACCGCTTTTTTAATTATTTTGTCAAATCGAACGGTTGGCGTCTCTAAAAAATAAATACATTCGAAACAGTTGGCGTCTCTAAAAAATAAACACTTACAAAAATAATATTTTTTGGAAAAATAAACATATATTATATTGAATTCTATTACTTTTAGGCAAATGAAATCACTCCCCCATTTCTTTAAAAGAGAAGAAAAAAATGATTTTTGGAGTTCTTTCACTCATTCTGAAGTAGTTATTCTTCAATATTTAACTTTTATATGCTCTTATTTATATTTTAAATTGTTTTAAACAGCGTAATACCGATATTAACTACTTTTATAATTGTTTAATTTAAATTTAAAAAATCAAATTTTTTAAAAAAAATCAACGAATTTTATTGTTCTTCACTTTTTTATAAAGTACCTTTTGTTCAAAGAGTAGAATTCATTATATTTTTATTATTTTAAAATAAAATATAAAAGTAATATTTCTATTCTAAACCAGTCAAAATTCTCCACAGGTTATGTGTTAATACAGATTAATTCTTAAAACTTGAAATGAAAAAAATCTTAAAAAGAAAATAATCTCCTCTTTTAAAATTTTGTCTCATATTTTGAAATTTTCCTTATATTTCCCAATATTTTGTCAATTAAAAATGAAAATTATATCTTAACTATTTAAACAAATAGGATTAACATGTACCACGGGATACTTAATAATGCTTAATTTTTAAATTCAACAATAATTAGTTATTAATTCATAATAACTTTTAAGAAACTGCGTATAGTATCTACCAGGGACAAAACGAGAACTCAACGCCACTTTGCGAGCACGATTAATTTACTGAACAATTATATCATAGATAAAACAATTTTTCTGCTGAGTTTTTTAAAATAGTTTTTTATTCCCATCTTGGATCACCTGTTCAAAAATACCTTAGGCATGTAACGAATCCATTCCTAGCTGCCAATATTTTACGTTATAAACGTTTCATCACTTCAAAATTTATTGTAAAAAAAACAACAGCAAAATACACGTATCTTCTAATTCGCAGCAATCAAGATACAGGTAAAGGAGTAATTTACAAATTCGTTTCAATTTAGAATTTGAAAAAGAATATATCAATTTTATTTTCATAAATATATGATGACACGTATAATAAACACTTATTAAAATTTCATTGCAGAAATTTCGAAGATTTTGTAACTTTAAAAGTTTATAATTCCCATGTCCCCCTTTAACTAAGCTTCTGGTATCTACTTGACATCTCGATTTAAATATATTTTTGAAATTTAAACCTCCCTCAAAGGTTTGCAATTTTTATGATAACTGAGCCATCTAATTTAATAAAAGTGCCAAAATTAGTTTATAACACCATTTATCAGACTATCTAGTGTTTATTTCCTATCTAGTGTGCATCAAAATGATTTCCGATACATCAAAATGTTAAGGGATTAAAAAGAAACCAAGCTGCGTTGACTTTTTTCTAAATTGCAATCAAATAAATTAACTTTATTGCAAGCATTTCAATACTGTTACTAAATTTAACAACGTTATAACCCTAATTAATAAAATTAAAAGAATATAGTAATATTTTCATTAACATATTTAACTTTTGAAAACTGATGTTGCAAAATAAAAAAAAATTCAGTATTAAATGAAACAAATTTGTAATAAACGATTTTAACAATTAAATTTAAAAAGTTATTCTAAAATTTTAAATAATTTTCAACTCATACAAAGGTTTATATTTGGTCATAGATATCGTAAAGCAGTACTATTTTGTATTCTTAGGAATATTTTTTTAATTCACAATTATAATTCACGAAAGAAATATAACTCGTTTGGGAGAAAATATTGCTCTCTTTTTTATGCCTCTTATTTAATTGATTATCTAAGAACTGTCACAAAAATTTTGTACGGAATACTTTTGAAAAGACATTTCTAAAGCATCCCCTACCGAAAAACCTAGCAACATGTCTTCGAATTTTTTTTTTATTTACCGTTTTTATTTGTATTCGAATTAGAATCGGCATCGACTCCCCACAACACACTGTAAAAGTGCCTTTCCATCATTGGTAGGTGGGTCGTGACGTCACTCCCTCCCTCCCGGAGTCCGTCGCCATGGTGATCCCTGTAATGTAAATCCAATTTCGATCGACCAAGCGACCCCAAATGCCCATGCTCAGTATATTCGCACGGCTTCTCTTTCGAGAGGGTGCCGACTGCGCAAGAACGCATTCTAGGGAAGAACTATGTGGAAAGGGACGAAATTCCGATCGTCTGCCCGGCAGCAGGTGCGGGGACAGGTCCCCGAAATGGACAATTCAGGGATGAAAGATGATGGAAACAGGAACTGATGCAGGAGTGCGACTTGTTTTTTCTCTTCTGTTTTTGTAAACTAACGCCAGTTTTTTCTTTTCCGTGATCAGGACTTCGAAGGGATTGTTTGATCTGGCGTCTTGCGAGGACTGCGCTGTGTGCAGCACCGCAGCAGCAGCCATGGGCACTGTACTCAGCTTTTCTCCTCGCGAGAGGAAACCAGCCTATGGGGAGTACAACCTCAACAACTACAACTACGAGCAGCTCAACAACGTGAAGAACAAGGATAAGAACGGTGGCGGAGTGAGCAACGGAACGGAAAAGTGCAACGGAAACAACCACAACTTCAAGAAGCACTCCCTCTTTATCAACGCTTTGAGTTGGAAACATTTCACCGTTTCGAGCAAGAAGAAGCAAGAGAAAAACAAAAATCTCCGTCAACCCCTAGATAGCATCCATTCCCTTGTGGATAACAACAAAAACATCCAGAACTCTCTCGCCTGCTTCAAGCCTGGTTTAGGCCAGTTAGATGTAGTCGTTAGAAACAACAACAACCTTGACAATGTTTGCAAACAAAAGCCAGCCCCACCACCCCTGCCACCGAAGCCTGCCATTCTCACCGCCCACAACCTGGTCCGGCCAGCAAACCATGGGGCAGTTGGTCCCCTTGCTTTCACGTCCAGCTGCGGAGGTGTCCTGCCTCCTCCAGGAAAAGCTGCCGGCACATCAATTAACGGCAATGTTGTAGCTCCGAGTCCTCACAAGAAAACTGTAATCCAGGCTTCCACTTCGGAGTTGCTGCGTTGCTTGGGCGAATTCCTCCACCGACGTTGCAGGAAACTGAAAGATTTCCATCCCACCGATGCTGTCATGTGGCTGAGGACTGTTGACAGAAGCCTCTTGATGCAAGGCTGGCAAGACATCGCCTTCATCAATCCAGCTAATGTCGTTTTCTTGTACATGCTGTTGCGAGATCTCGTTGCTGAAGACATTGAACAGGAGCGTGAACTTCAGGCTGTTGTACTGACGTGCTTGTACCTCAGCTACTCGTACATGGGCAACGAAATCTCCTATCCTCTCAAACCATTTTTGGTGGAAGACTCCAAGGACAAGTTCTGGGACCGGTGTCTTCTCATCATTAATCTCCTCAGCGGCAAGATGTTGCGCATCAATAGCGAGCCTAGTTTCTTTACTGAGGTCTTCACAGAGTTGAAAGCATGTTGCATGATGGCGGCGTAGCAAAACTTTAAGTCTTTAGGTCGAAATGTTTTTTGTAACGTTATTGTAACTACTACAAACACTTGAGAAAGTCGTGGATGAGACGCTGGTTTGTCTATTTTTTCATAGATTGTCATGCGTCATTTTTATCGCAGATGTTGGACACTTGCAAAGACTAAGTATTGGTAAGATTTATCATGCATGATTGAAATTATATTCTAAGAGTTACTTCTGTTAAATACACAGTTTGTATCATTTCATAATATCTTATATACTTTGTTTAAGTTTGAATAACAAGTAATTTAGAAAATAGAATTATTCTTTCCTTTTTTTACAATTGACGTTATTACTATGTTAAGCCTTAACTATAAAAAAAAATATATTTAGCAATTTTAAAAGAAATATCACTTAAAATTTTTACAGAATATAAGTTCCGGTTTCTTGTTTACATTTTGTTTCGATAGAAATTAATTGCGCTTTGACTCATGTGCATTTTAAAATTTATTATGTATACATTTTTGAATAAAATAGCTTAAATTTTGTGTAATTAACATGAAATGGATTAAATTTTTAGATTTTTTTAAAATAAATATTTCGAAATTTGAAATTACTTTTTATTTAAACGCCAATTTGATTTAAAATGCGAAGAAACTGAAATTAATATTTTTTTATAATTTGACAAAAAAATAATAATCTAGTAGAACACTCTTCATTGTATTTGTATTCTTAGATTGTGTATATTTATTCTAATTTTTGTGAATAAGTGTTTTGAATTGGTAAAATAATTCACCTGAAACTTTACTAATATTGATTGTTTGAACATATATTTAAATTATTTTGTTAATCAATCATGAATCTGAAAAAACATGTTCGTTAAACTTATTTATTACTTAAAACACAAAATAATGGTGTTAATAATAAACGTATTAAAAAGTAGTAATTTAAATCGCGAGTGTGTAAATGCTTTATAAGTTCGAAACAAAGTCATTTTAATAATTATTAATGTATTAAATTAAAGAATAGTTACAGCAAATATTCTATAATTTGTAACTATGTTGGTGTTAGGTACCATGAAACAAATGAGAATTTTATTTTGAAAATTACAACAAAATATTGTTGATAAATCCTATTTTGAATTAGTATTAATGTTTATTAAATTTGATGGTTACTAGAAACCCAAATATTGAATTTCAACAAAATTAAGATTGTGGAATATATCCTAAATTAAATCTTAAATGAATGCCTTCGAATTTAGCATAAAGAAAAAGTATTGATTTTGAGTGTAAAGGAAATATAAAAAAAATTTATCAGGACAGTTACTCAAACTTATGTTCTAAACGTCTCTTAAAATCTTTTTTATTATCTGAATACTAAAACCTAAGTACATATTTCCAAATGTAGTGGAAATATTTACAATGGAAAACTTTTCTTACGATTCAGCTACCTCAAAAAGAACGCGTAGTACCAGGAGCAATGGCGTCAAGTATCGATTTTTCGAAATGCGATTGTCTAGCACTCAAAGGCATTGCTTCTGATTTAATTACGATCTAAGTTTTACCAGAAATTGAAACATAGTTTTTAATTTGCAAATTAAATATAATTCTGATACTTGTCATTGATTTCGGTTTGATAATTTAAATAACGCAACGTTATCAAGTTTAATGCATAATAATTAAATTTTATTACATACAGCATACAATTAGACAATGATTAGAAACAATAGTATCCGTACTACCATAATTGAACCAGATCTTATATTTTTAACACTAACTCTTCTAACAATTTTCACTTGATTTAATAACTTATATGTGAATATATTTTCCACAAACAAATCGCATATAGTTCAAATGAAATTGATAGCATGAGTTTCTAAAATTGCGTCTTAATTTTAACTGTTAATTGAAATTGTATGAAAAAATTGCCGTAGTTTCAGTAATTAAAAATAAAATTAATATTTTTTACAAAATTAACTATATTCATCAGCTTTTATTAATAACTATTCAAACTTATTTCAATTTATAAATTGAAGCTATTTGATTTATAAATAATGAGATGAATATGAAATTTTAGTAGTATTTAGCTAATGACGAAGTATGTAATTAAAATGCCAGTTTTGAGTTTTTCAAAAAAATTATTAAATACACTTATAAAAAAAATCCACAGTTAGTTTTAGTATAATAAATCATAAGTTTTAACAATCGGTTGTAATTAGTAATTTGATAACTGGGATTAAAATGTAAAAAAAAGTTCATTATTTTGAAATAAAACTTTTTAACGATTAAATGTTTCGTAATTATAGCCATAAAACAAATTGTGAATAGTGAATGAAACTCAAAGTACATAGTTGCCATGAGAAAAAATGGGCGCCTCATTATTTATTATAGATTTAGACTCATTAAAAATGATATTCTTTTAGAGTAACTTCTATATTGCATAAGATGTTAGGTTATCACAACCCATGTTAAATAATCGATTTAAAAGTACGTTTTTTTTTTCAATTTACTCCTCGTTTTAATTTTTTTTGCCACTTTTAAACAGGCTTTTTATGAATTATAACTGAAAAATATTTTTTTTAATTTAGTGTTAAAGAGAATTTTTTTTTTAAATTTATGTTAAACAATCTAATAAACATTATTAAAATGTGCATCAAGATAAGAAAAATGAAACTCAACAGCTTTGGGAAAATCAATTCAGTATTTTGTGAGAAAAGGTGTATCAAAGTTGGCCAATTCTTTTCGAATGACATGGATTTAATTAAATAATTTACTCAAAAGTTTAAAAAAAAAATGTTTCAAGATGTGTTCCTTAACACAAAAAAATCAGTATTTATTTAAAAAAAGATATTTAGTTTTTTATATTAAATATCGTCTGGCAAGAGAATCAACATCCACTTTATAAAATTTAAATATACATATGTAAAAAAACTGCTGTTTAATTTTTTTAGAACAAAAATAAAAAGAACAACAAAAAGTGCGTGCTTAATTTTAGTGTCGCTCGTTCCAAAACAAAGGTCTGTCACCAACCGCTCAGGGATTTGCGTGACTAAATCTCATCCAATAAATGGAACAACCTTAAAAAAGAGGCCAGATTGAAAGCTGAGTGGACTTCATTTCCAACTAATCACGCAAACGATAAATTGCTTGAAGTTTACGGAACTTAAAGTAATATTCGAATTTTTAGTGATAATAGTGAATAAATTAACACTTCCTCAATAGCCTTTTTTTAATTGAAATTAAACTTTTGAGGTTTCATTTCCGACAACAAATCTTAATTCGTGACCTAAGCGAAATTTCGATTTAGTATTTGTATGCCCTGATGAAATGCCAAATTATTATCTGTTCTTTCTCTAGGAAATTTCGGAGTGGAGAGTGATTGTAATTATTTTTCATGAATTTTACTCTTGATTATTCACTAATATATGCTTTGTAAATATTTAATATTAACCAAAATTGCAATTTTATAAGTAAGTGTTAGTATATTAGTTTCTGTTTCAGACAAACTATGAGCACAGTATAACCTTTTGGCTTTTGTAGGACATAAAAAAAAACACTGAGAACCGCATATTAAAAATTTGATTTTTTAGTATTGCTCGTACAGAAATTGAGTTCCATAAATCTGAATAGATTACTATCATAATCATTAAGGAATAATGTCATTATTTCTTCAAAACAAAAACAATTTCTTACAATTGGTTGAAACTCAAGTGGAAAAAAACAGAATTTCAAAAAAGAAGATCTAGTTTACGAATGACGATTAAAAATATTATAATTTTTTTATTGTATGCAATTATAATATTTCCCTTCATTTTAACAATATAAACAGAACTTAATTGATAATTTTAAAAAAATAACTATTTAAAATTATTACAATTTTGATGACTTTTATTTTTAAAAAAACAAATGAACATTTGAAGAAATAATTCATGAAAAAACTCAAAATTCATATCAAAAATGTTAACACATTTCAATGTATACAAAATGTATTCAAAATAAATTATTTAGTAATAACATTAGTTTTTCAAAATTCGCTTAACTTATAAATGAAATTAATAAAATAAAAGTAAAATAAAGTGAAGGTCTAAGTAAAAATTAAAAGGAAAAAGTGAATCGTAGAATTCAGTAATAAAAAGCAAATTAAAATAATTTATTAATTAACTAGGAAGCTATGACTCGTAGAGGAAAATGCAAACAATTTTTCGACATTGCATTCTGTTAAATACTAATTACTTTAAGATCTGTAAAATAAAATACAATATTTCGACGTTATAACATTGCTATGCTCTTTAGTCTATAAAAATTTCAAAATAAATTATTTAATAAAAGTAAGCATTGTGGCTGTATGAAAAATATCTGTACAAAAATTATGGTTTCAATTTAACTAAGATTTGAGTTGAAAGCTCAAAAAGTTAGTCAAATGTTTTGAGAGAAATCATGAATTCAGAAAGAAATCGTCTTAGAATGTTTGTCAACTACCATTTTATTAGTTAAAACAAATTTAGTAAAAGTGCTATGTATATAGACTACTTTCTATCTTTTTAACTTCCCTTGTATTCTGAAGTGTTTTTGTATAAAAATTGTATAAGAATAGTAAACATTTAGCAGAAATATTATCTAGGAGCGCCTGAAACATTATTTAGGAGCGCCAGAAATATTATCTAGGAGCGCCGGCAACATGTGCAATACAAAAGAGATTCAGATATTACCTACACAAATAGGATTCTGATGTCCGTGTACAAAATTTAGAATCTGTAAAAAAAAAAATTGTTTCGTCCCAATTATAACAAGTCAGTGTCTATTCACTTATAATTTTGCCTATTAATTATAAAAACTTGTCTTTTATGTCATAATTCATTATCAAATCATATACTTGATAGAAAAAATATTTAAGAAGACTTCATAAAGGGAAATTAATAGATTAAATATTGTAACTTAATCGAATGTTCTATTTTATTACCTTTCTGTTGAAATCGCTTACTAAATATTGATTATCAATTCAAGTGATTATGAAACAGAATATAATTTGTTTATCCGCAGTAAAGTGAAACAATTTCAGCGGCATTTTATTTTTCAAACAGATGTACGCGTTATTCACAAAATGCAACTTTATATGAATAAAAGGTTACAAAGGAAAATGTATGTTTAGTTTATTAAGGGTTAATGAAGCTGGCTCACAAGCTTAAATGAAAAACATGTTGATAACAGTTATGCAGCTTTGTCTATTCTATGTTAGATAAATAAAAAAAAAAGATCATCTATGATTAGGATAAAATTTCATAAAACAACAACGACAAAAGTACTTCGTTGCATAAAAATAAAAATTTTGATTAAAATTTCGTTAAATATCTCCTCTTTATATAAAGTTCGGTACATTCTTAAGCTGCCATTCTTTTTATTTCTTTTTGCTCTAAGGCCGTTCGCTGTAGCTGTAGGAAGCAAATCGCACTTTCCTTCAGTTCTTTAAAAAAGAATTTTTTTTCTTTACTTAATAAGAAATTGTTCAAACATATTTCAACAAAAATACACATTTTTAGCATTTTTGTTGAAATTTTTATTTTTGAGTATACGAAAGATGCACGTCCAATGCAAAGGTTCTTAGATTTCGCTAAGTATGTCATTTTAGATATTTTTCAAAAGTTATTCTTTTTGAGAAGATAAAAGCTATTTACTGTTCTTTTATACATTACAGAAATGTGTCTTTATCGCGCCTAAAAATGCTCTTTAGAACTTAAAAAAATGAGTTTGTCATTTAGTATGTTTTTCATCTGTTTAGATATTAGCATTTGTGAGGGAGTTTCTTTGATCGATTGTTAAGCTTTACTAGTAATAAAGTTTTTACGCTTTACTAGTAATAAAATTTTTACGCCTGGAATTTTAAGATATTTAAAATTACAAAGAAAGTACTCCAAATATCGCTTGTAAATTGAGATGAGTTTTTTCCTTCAAAGAAATTTTGTGCTTAAGAAATAAATAGGAAAGGTGCTCTTATTTTTTTTTTTTTTTAATTATGAAAGAATAATTTTTTTTTAAAAATTCAGAATCATGGAGTTTTAGCCAAAAATGCTATAAAAATACATTATATAGACGCATTTTTAAAAAGAGTGGAAGTAAGCGTCGTAATTAAATTATTTATTTTAAAGGAGATATTTATTGCTCCTATTAATAAAAATAGAAATTGGTTAAGTAAACAATGTACTGAATAATATTTGCTACGCAAAATTTTATAAGTTATTAAAAACCTTAATTTTTTTTCATCAAAAATTAATTGTAAGAATACATTTGTTATCGTTTGCTGAAAATGAATAATCGTTTGCTTTTTTCTAATTTAACTATGATTATTTTCAATTTAAAAGAAATAGAATATAAACACAATTTTTTGTGGAAAAATTAGTTTATAATCATAGTTGGCAAGTTTGGTTGTGCAAAATTTAGTTACCGACATCAACTGCCTAAAAAATAATAAAATTTATTTAATAAAAACAAAATTTACTAAAAAACCGATAGTTACTTGCAGATTAGTAGAAATTGATGATAAACTTGGGGCTGAAAATTGTAATTAAAAACAATCTAACTTATAACCATTTCAAATTAAATAAGAATTATTACATATTATTTACTATTCTAAAAATGTATCTGTTTATAAAATTTCAGCTCGATTGGCAAGTTACGCTTGTACTACTTTCCTTGTATGTAAATGAAGCTTAATTAGTGTGTCAAGTGTTACAATAGTTCTCTTTTTAATTTGTAGATTAATTTCTCTCACTGTTTTACAAAGCTAGTTCCGAACTCGAGCGCTTTCGTCAACAACTTTAAGAGAGAAATATACATTTTAAATACTGTGATACTTTTATTTTGTAAATAGTGTTAGTTTTTTTGTGAAGTATGTTTATCTTAATTTTGTGTTTAGATACATATTTATAAGTAAATTATTGTAACTGGTGAACTTAAGTTTTTCACTATACAGTTTATTGCATTCCCCCTTTATATGTGGATATTGTATAATATAAATTGAATATTTATATTTTATGTTGATTACATTATGTGATTTTAAGCGGCAAAAGTATTTAAAAATGTTATTATGAAATATTGCGTTCATGTAAATAGGTGTAAATTAATTTTAAGACGAATATTTCGCACTATATCTTTCCATTTGCTTCAAACGTTTCAAACGTGTTTTAGACTATTTTCGAGTGCAAATATTTATGAACTGAATAAACTGAAAAAATACCAATCATTTTCTTTATTATCCGAAATGAACTATAAGAAGAACATTGCTCAAAGCATTGATAACATAAAAAGCTGAGTTTACAGAAATGTTTTTTATGAGCTTAGAAGTTTGTTTACAAGGAACAAGTTTTGCAACCGATCCAGTGAAGCGCACTGAAAAATTCCTTCAATTTTGGAAATGTAAGCAATCGCTTGACTTCTGAGTTTTCGTATAATCCAGTTCATTGATTCCACAAAACTTCATAATTCCTTCAATATCAATATTTAAAATTATTTTGTTAGATTCATTCTGTTGTCTGGTTACTGACCACAACCATATTACGGCAATTGATTGAATGATAATAGTCAAGTGATTTAGTTCAGCTTCTGGTTCTGAAATTTTTATTCATATTATTTAGTATTTTTTATTTGAGTAATTGTTATAATGTGGCATAGTGTGAGAAACTATTTACCCTTACATATAAAAGTTTATTTTTAAAATATTTTGGTCTAATAATAAATAGTTTATTTACTTAAAAAGTACTGAAGGGAACTGTTTAGTTACGATCTAGTTCAGCTTTAAGCGTTTAAATCGATTAAATTTTTTGAACTTTTTAAACTCAACAATTCGAAATGTGCTTCACTGGCTACGTGTTGCAGAACTTATTCTGCATTTTTTTTAAATGTTTTATTCTGTTGTGAATATTTGCAATTCGTTTGAATCTCAGTGATTGTAATATGAATTAATGTATTACAAATATATATATTGCTATTTATCCTTGTGTCTAATGTTGTAATTTTGATGTGCATCTATATTTTGAATTTCGAAGTTGACCTCCATGCAAGAGAAAGTCTCGTCCACCCAATGGCCAGTTAAGTTCAACGGTCATACAGAATTGTAAATACAGTATCTATTTAATGAAGAATTGAGAATTGATCTGGAATAGTTGGACATTTTATTTGATGAAGTAAAAATATTTTGTGATATTTACGTTTCCATAATCTTTTCATCTATTTTTACATTTTTTTTAAATCTATGTGATGGTTTCATTATTTATTTTTGACTCAGAACTGAAAAGGTTAAAGTATACAACAATTAACAATAGTTAATTCAATAACAAATAAAAAAAAGAGAAAAAATCAATGCTCAAAGAGTTAACTGCAAATAAAGTGATATATTGTCGACTCTAAACGTGCAACACACACTTCATGAGGACAGAAACGAAACGTAAATAACCGAAAGATGGAGAAACATTTATATATTTAACCCTGTTTCGGTCATATTCGTTTTCATCTTGATGATGAGTGCATTACTCGCTCTAAACTAACCTTTCTTGAGATCATGTAAAACTTAACTGAACAGCAATGTAGAATTTATTAATGACAATTTATTACTGATATTAATTTCGAAAAAAAATTCGAAAAGATGTTTATAAATTAATAATGGCAATTTCTTGCCTTGTTCAATAAAAATCAATGCTTCAAACATTATTTATCCTTACAATTAAATCCAT